TGGCCACTGAAACATGATGGTCCAGGCACCCTACTTTAGGGCTCAGGGTTTAGGGTTTGGGGCTTCAAGAATTTCAATATATTCGCAAAGCTCAGCAGCAGAAAGGGACCGTCAAGCCCATATGCGGTTGCAGTGCTAAGCCCTAAGGCTCCGTTTCCAGCGGGATGGCTTCTAGTCTCAAAGGATCCATGTGTCTACATAGTATAGTATACTCGGGGCTCAAGCTAGTTATGCGGGAACCCCTCTGTACGGTGTATCTGCGTGGACCTTTTGACTTCACAGGTTTCTATTGCTAAAGGGCCTTGGCTGGTACTTTGGTTTTCAGGTTGAAGTAGCTAGATCCGCACAAACCGGCATAATTTGTCAATTGAGGTCTTCCCAAATTAAGGGTCCCGTTTTGCGTGCCCCTATGAGCGGACTACACTTTAAATAGGAGTTTATAGTTGTGCCTCCTAGTTTTGTAGGAACCATTGAAAGGCAACCTGAGTTCAAGGAAGCAGAAGCGCAATCATTGGGAAGCAGCACCACGTAGGACGGTTCAGCAAGAGCACGCCATCGAGTGATCATCTAAGCGATTCTGATGGCGACCCCACCCGAAAACAGCTACCAACATTTCTTATTCTCAGGATTTGGACCTCGTATGATTTAGACCATCATGTAGGACACAGGGTATAAGGTTTACAAGCCTGACACCCTAATTATGCTCCAATCCTACCCACAAGAGGACATCCTGCACTAACTAGGCTGGGTTGGACTTCGGGATTTGAGCGTTTTCCCTTACTGCTTTCATAAGGACACTGCATACTGCTATTTTTCATGGGGTTGCAAAGGCCAACCAAGTAGGACTCGCGACTTCCCAGGGTGTAGCATATGAAGGTCGCGCAAGCTTTCCTCCATCTGCAGTTGTACTGTGTGCACTTAAAACCTAGCCCGAAGGGTCCAATTCCCGAGATCTTCGTAAAATTCCCCAAGCCAAATCCCAAGCAAGCAACTTTGGGATATTTGGCCCCTAAACCGAAGCCCCTAAATCATTCAGCAGCTTTCATGTTCTCTTCCCTTCACCAATAAGTACCATTGTTAGATGACGAGTTTTATCATCTCAAGTGAGAAAACAAGTTTTCTCCCTCCATTCTCCAATTGCCCAGGTACGCCGCATTTAAACCCCCAAGGGTCCATATAGGGATATAGTATAGGTTTCAGGGTTTAGGGATCTAGTCTATACTTCGGATCCAAACAGGCTCTGGTATAACGACTTGGTGGCCTGAATATCCATTATATGGCTACCTGGACCCTTTGGCAAATAATGTTACCTGCTTTTAGGGTCAAGGTAGGGCCATTTATTGCCAGTGCTTACATTGAGGCACTCCGTCCGTCCAATGGTAGGTAGAAGAGTTGTTTTTGAGTATTGCTCTAGCACCGCAAAACCAGCGCGGCTGGCAGAGTTAGCAGTTAACCTGGATCCCATAACCATTTGGTAGATAGAGCCGTTTCATGCTTGTGTATGTGGACCCTTGCAGTCTTTCTTTGCAGGGATATGGCCGAAGAGGAAGTCCAGCGGGTTCGGAAAGCCATCCAGGAGCTCATAAGGTTCATAGATGATAGAAAGAGGGTAGATTGCATGGTGTCAGGTTTAGTGTTGAAGCTTTAGGGTTGCTCATCCTTCCTCTGGGAGCTTCTGTAAGGCTATGGCCTGCTTGATGTTACAGGGGTGGTTTACGGTCATGATCGGAATTGCCGTCAGGGTCCGTGGGACATGGCAGAAGATGTGCAGACCCCGATCGTGGATTGTCTCACTAAATTCGTAGTTCTTGGTGGTCATTGAAACACCTCCTTTTCTCTCTGTCTTTCTCCCTCTGGCTCTGTGGCTCTCTCTCTCTCTCTCTGTCTCTTTCTATGTCTCCCTCTCCCTCTTGCTTTCTGTGGCGCTGTGTGCACATTCAGGATCACGTTGCGCTAGCTGTGCATTGGGTAGAAGTAGGTGAAACTCTACGTCTCAACTTTTGATTGTTTCGGGCTTAGACCCTTGAAATCAGCGAGGGTGGCCAAATATCTCTGGTTCTTGCTTTGCAGCTTAGCCACCCTGATAGCGTGGATACGTACACAGGGAGTCCTTTGACCCTACTGTAAAACAAGTATTCTAAGAATTATGCCTGCAAGCTCTGCAAACTTAAAATCTGAAGCCCAAGCATTTCCAGGAACCTTCTCATTACCCCTTAATTTCCAGTAAATCATGTCAGGGAAGCCAATACCGTATCATCGAAGCTCTATTCCTAGACTAAGATATATTGGTCTCTGAGGGCTCATCGGCGCTCCTGATTTTCATTGGACATGAATGGTACATCTCAGACAGAATCTTAAGGAAACATTTCTGTAGGGATCAGCAGTTGCTTTAGGAAAAGCCGCTTTGGACTCTTTAGGCCCCTGTGTTGGTTCAAACTGGGTAGGCCCCAAGAAGTGACAATCCCATTTTCATAGCAGGCGCCTAGGCTGTCCCAAGCCCGGAATCTCTAAGCGCTCAACAGTGTTGCATTCTGCAGAAGACCTACAACAAGAGCAAGGTTTGCATTGTGGTACTTCCAAAAACGTCACTTCCCAAAACGTCGTCCTAAAAAGATCCGGATGTTTCGCGAAACCTTTAAACGGCTCATAATATTTTCCCAATTATAGAAATTCCGAAAGAGATCGCTAGACCCAGCGGAACAACCTCACCGGCACAGTCGTGAAGCTTGATGACAAGGAGGCCTAAGTCTTAAATCCCAAGCTTGGCCCCAAGCCCTACATCCTAAGCCTGAAGGCGCAAATCCCTATTTTGAAAACCATGCAAGGAAGAGGAGACTCAGCTCTCATCTGAGAGCTGGCGAGATGTTTCAAAGCAGTCAGCGAAGGCTTTGGGGCTTTGATGCAGGAAGTCAGAGGGTTTAGGATTGCCGTTGGTGAGGTTTTTGTGTATGAGCGTGCCCTTGTAGAGAGAGAAGTGCTACGTACTTAAGCACAAAAGATTCCTCTTTCTAACGTCGTATGCGCTACGCAAATGGTGTGAAGATGACTATGCTGTATGTGCTTGGAACCCCTATCACCTAGAGTTTCATGGGTTATGCCTACAAATTATAGTCCCCTTAAGTAGATAGACAAGGGCTTTGGGTATGTTATAATAAGATCCCCATATGCCCCATACTCTATCTACTTAAGGGCGACTATAGGGTGTAGCTACTACTCGTCTATAGTTTCTGGGAGTCTGAGGTAATTTTGTTCCTCCATCACGGCCCTCCAAACCCCAAAAGGGATATAGGGGATATATAGGGATTTTATAGAGTTATATGAGGGTAATATAGGGGGTTCATAGAGATAATGGAAAAGACAATGGAAGCTACTACTTAGGGTTTTGAGTGTAGGGTTTCCCAAAATCAGGGGTGCCTTCTTGGAGGTTCCCATAATAAGGATTATAGTATTGTAGGTCTATAGAATCTTAAGGATTCGCATGCAAACTCTGTTGTTTCCTGGCAGCTTCGAGGGTACCAAAACTGCGAGGACACCTGTGTTGTAATTGCGGTATAGAGTTTAAGGGATCCAAGTATACAAGTAATACCTACAGTGGGCCCTAAAATCTGTAGATATTACTTACATGGGCTATTTGGATCCCTAGGAATAGTCTGGGGGGATGCGGCACGGAATTTCTTCCTCTTCCATCAACAGCATCCGCTGTACTTCGTCGTGGAACCTGAGGGTTTGCATCCTGAACCCTGAGCCCCTAAACCCTAAACCCTAAACCCCCAACCCTAAACCCTAAACCCTAAACCCTTAACCCTTAACCCTAAACCCTAAACACCCAAACCCCGCATCCCAAAGCCCTGAATTCCCTATGACCCCAATACTATGATTATATTTGGTTATATAGGGATAATGGAAAATCAAATGGAAACTACAGGGATTAGATACTATAATTATATTTGGTTATATAGGGATAATGGAAAATAAAATGGAAACTACGGGGATTAGATACTATGATTATATTTGGTTATATAGGGATAATGGAAAATAAAA